AGGGGGTGCGGGGGAGGGCGCAGCGCCTCCCCCGCGGGGCTCGCGAAGCGAGCCCCCATCACATTTCAAATGTGGACTGTGCTGGGTCGCCGGTTGCTCTGGGTAACTAGAATAACATTGTAGTAAACAGTGGGCACCAAGCGTGGCAGCGGAGCTCTCCACCAAACCGAGTGCTTTCTTCTGAAACCTATACACTCTGCACCATGCTTATCCCCTCGTGAAACATCTTTCTGCTGTACTGCGCTCCGCTCACTCTTGGGCTGTCCCTTTGTCCAACCGCTTTGGCTTCGCGTCGCCGCCCGTGCAGCTGAGCGAAGCGAGGCGGAGCGGGCGGGGACATACGAAGCCAAAGTGGTCGGACAAAGGGACAGCCCAAGAGTGAGCGGAGCGCTCATGAGGGGACAAGCATGGTGCAAAGTGTATAGGTTTCAGAAGAAAGCACCCGGTTTGGGGGAGAGCAGAGCGATGTGAGCGAAGCCAGCCGACTTGGATTCTGTGACGACACGGAGAGCGCTGCCAGCTGAAATCGTAACGCTAAGCGACCAGCGCGGGAGGGGGTGCGGGGGAGGGCGCAGCACCTCCCCATCAAATTGATGGACTCAGCGCGGGGGCTTTCTGTTGCACTGCGCCCGCTCACTTTGGGAAAGCTTAAGAAACCCCTAGTGAGGCAAGGTGGACATGAGCGATGGAGCGGAGGGCGCTGCCAACTGAGATCGGACAAACCCGACCAAAGGTTATTCCCGCCAGTCATTTCTATTGTCCATCGTGTGTGTCTGTAACCGTATAGTAAGTTTCACTTTTCTCTTTTACGAAAGCCAGCCGTGGGCTAGGCTGAAGTTTTTTAGGCGAACGAAGTCAGAATTATGGGGTGTGGGAGGGGGTCTGTAGATAAACTCCACGCAGGTTGTCGCGAAGACATCTGGCAAGCCGTCATATCGCGAAGGCGCCCTCTCAACCATAGCCACGCACATGCGAAAAAGAAATGCGCCAGGTTGGCTGTCTCACGGCTGCGTTGGAGCCATCTTGGGGCCAACTTCATCTACCTTGGAGCCCATGATGGTGATACAACTTCGGCATTGCCAAAAGCCATCCAAAAATACACCTCCAAAACGCTCTCCCCAGTGGCCCTGCAGGCCGAGCAAGAATCAACGCAGCAACCACACCAAAACACAAAAACTCCTCCAAAACGCTGGCGCTGCAAGCGCGACGTAACGAAAACTCATCCAAAATTGCACCTCTAAAACGCTCTCCCGAGAGGCCCTGCAGCCCAACCATAGCCGCGCGCGTGCGCGCGAAAAAATAGCCCCCCCTCAGCAAAGCTATTTGCATAGCAGCACCCCATAGCACGCCCTGCACCGACAAGCGATGTGGGCGGATTTCAACATGTTGGTTGTTTTGTTGCGAGGTTGCGGTTGTGGTTGTCGTTGTTGTAGGTGTTTGTTGTTTGGTTCCTGTTGGTTAGTTGGTTGGCTCAGCGACCCAGCGTGGTTGGTTGGTTGCTGCTGGCTGCCTGGCTGGTCGCTGTTGGTTGCTGTTGGTTGCGGTTGGTTGGTTGGTTGGTTGGTCAGAAGTTTTTGCCGCACGGGGTTCACCTTAGAATGTTATTTTGTGGCAGGCGCAGGTGCTGGAGATCAAGGAGACTGCACAGTACGGATTATTTCACGCAAGGTTAGTTTGTTGCTTGGTTGGTTCATGTTCTTGTTGGGTGTTTGGTGTGGTTTGTGGTGATTTTGGTTGTCGTTGTTGGTTGACGTTTCCTGTCTCGAGCCCGCACTTGGCCCAGGAACATGTAACACCAAAGCCGGAACACAAAACACCGGCAGGAACCCAGGGCACCATTCCAGGAACCTGACACCTACATTCAGGAAGCGAAGCCACTGTTGCCGGAAGGCAACACACTGACACAGGGGAACGGAAAACACCACAGGGAACACAAAACACCAATATAGGAACATAGAACACTTGCACGCCGGAAGCCAAAACCTTCTCGGAAGCTGCAGCCATCTTCCCGGAACTGCAGCCACCAAACCAGGAAGGACACACTCCGAGAAGGGAAAACACCATGGGAAGGGAAAGCACCAAACCGGGAACAGAAAACACCCGACCCGTTCCTTCTAGTAGCAAAAGAAAACCTGTGCGTGCGAGAAGGGAAAACGCCGTGGGAAGGGAAATCACCAAACCAGGAACAAACAAAACGGCGAACTAGGAACACAAAACACCTAACCGAAATCCTCTTACTTCGGACGGAAGAGCGAGCACCGAGCTGGGAACAAAAAACACCTAACCCAAATCTCCTGATAGAAAAGAGGAAACTCTGCGCGCGGGAAGAAACAACACCGTGGGAAGGGAAAACACCAAACCAGGAACCAAAAAAA